TATTCATGCAAATTCATGCTTAATTAATCCTATTTTTATTCGTTCATCAAATTTATTCAAATTCTTACAATGTATTCAAAATACACTTCAGCTCTAAATTGTTGCAATCAAACTGTCAAAAGAAAAATAGATGTCAGAATTAAGCAATCTTTTGTTTCTTAGATTAGTCCGGTCGAGTCGCTCGATTCGATTATAAGCATGCTTTATTTGGATATCATTTTTAATCTAATTAATTACTAAAGCTTCCAAATATACTTTGCTCATTTGATTTGAATCCATTTGGGCTCGGACTGGACTGATTTTAGTGTTGTTAGGCTCATCTTATCGAGACATTCGATTTGAGTATAAGTTTGCTAAAATCAAAATTTTGATGGTCCAAATTTAATTTTTGGAAGCTTCTAATTCATATATGCCTAAAAAATTCATGCCTCATCAAGAATATTTTTTGTGATAAATAAATAAATAAAAAATATATTGATAAAGATAGACTATTATTTACCTTTGACTATTGTCCTTCTAACTTTTGTCGTCAGACAACAGTCATTTTGACCTCCGTCGTCAGACAACGGATTTTTTTGACCTCTGTCGCCCAAAGACTACAGTCCTTTCTACCTCTGTTGATAGACTACGGTTCTTTTGACCTTCGTCATTAGATAATGAACTTTCTGACCTTCATCGAATGGCGATTATGGTCCTTTCGACCTCCAGCCTAATAATTGCATTTCCGACCTCCGTCGCCCGCCGACTATAGTCATGCCGACTAAATGAATATGCCAATACTGATTCTTCTCATTCTTACAATGTAATGCACTCTATATGTTGTATATTTGCTATATCAAACCAAAGCCTTCACCCAAGAAAAGATCTCATTTGTAATTATTAGAGTACAAAGACAAATAAAGACCAATACAAACAGGAGATGTATAAAGCGCCGCTATCTTGTTTCTTGTTGATATTATTTACATATTTACACTAGCTTGTACTCTATAAATAGATCTATGTATTCTGGTTTAAGACATAATAGAAGTCATTTTCTTCTTGCTCATTTCTCTTTCCCGTTCTGCTCTGTTCGCTAAACAAGAACAACGATTTCACTCGTCTGTTCTTTCTACAGTAATCGGCTACAAATATTAGTGAATTCATTCAAACTGAGTCAGGCCCCTTGGTTTTATCTCTTTTTAAGTGTTTGCACCTAAAAATTCTGATGTCTTTTATGAATGTTACACTCCTCTCTTTTATTTTATTGTGTGCTGAATCTTCATTCAAAACCAATACATTAAATTATATATTTCTCTACCACAACGAATAATCAAAGTAGGGGTGTCAATATTTGACACGACACGAAAATCCGACCCGGAATTTTCGGGTTACCCGGAAACTCGTTTGAAGCCCCTGCCAGCGTCGCTGCCCGCGACTGCCACGCTCGCGAACCAGACCTCGCCCGCGTCGCACTGCGCGACCGCATCCT